AGATAACATTAACAAATTGACAAGCACTTACTGGGCAGAATATGGCTCTTCAAATGACGGACGAAATTGGAGGTTGTCATCTGACTGTCCGCGATCTTAACGTTGCATGTCTTGCAAAGCGCTGTTCTTTTGCCATCTTGTTGTAAGAAATTCTTGAATCCAAAAGCGACGACGACCCTCGTTATCCCTCCGGCTGACATGTTGATGTGATCTGATGTAAGTGGGCGTGGTGTGCGCGTAAGGTATGAGAAGGCATGACTGATGATCTCTGATCCAGTCATGACAGCGCTATTCTCAGCCTGCGCTCCAGCTGGATCAACTTTATTTTTTTTTACATAATTTATATATTTTATATTCAAACTGAAAACATGATGTGATTAACACTCAAGTCATATTATTACATGCAAGTGTGTTTGATTTATGGACCAAATTTTCAGATCAAGTTTATGGACCAAGTTAATTTAATTAATAAACTAATTATATAAAACTATTAATGCACTACAATTAAACTGGTTATATGCCTTTACTTATAAAAAATAAAAAACTTATTTAAAAAAATACCAGGCTTAAGGCATTTATTTTTTATGCAGGCCATACACACAGGAGTGAAATGGTTAATACCCCTCCCCCTACAAACACACACACATTCACAGACAGGCAAAGACAGCAGGCTCAGATTGAGCAAGACCACATTCAAACAAACATATCTGACTTTCTGTGGGTCCTAGCTAATGAGTGTCAATTAGAAAGTTGTCCGGCTCGAGGAGTACAATATACATACCGATTTTTGTAACTGTAGATAAAACTAACAACCCCACTTTTGTCAAAAGGTGGCGCTACTGAGCCCTCACCACGCCCGTTTCTGAAACTTTGCACGTGTCTACTGGCTAATAAATGTGATGTGTCTGTCGAGTTTCATGCAATTTCAAGCATGCTAAGGGTCTCAAAAGCATCCTAAAAGAATGGTAACGTTTGATGCGTCGCCACGGCAACAGTTTCAAAGATATCAAGAATCCATTCACAGGTCTACATCTGCCGTATGTTTACATTATACAGATGACGTTTGAAGCAAATCGGGTAAAAATAAAAGGGTGATATCAAAGCATTTTGAAAGTGACACACTTCCTGCTGCCAGTTGGTGGCGCTATAACTTTGACTCACAATAGTCACATCCATGTGATCGTCCTCTTACAGCGAACACACTGCTGAAGTTTCATCAAGATCAGTTAATGTATGCTGAAGTTATAACACACTTCCTGGTTCACGTTTCTCGCCATGATTTCGTTTCCTCGCCACGGCCAAACCGTTCGAGATATCAAAAATCCCCTCGCAAACTTTCATCCTCAATGTCTTGACTTCATGCTGACCGAGTTTTGTCGAATTTGGATCAAAGCTCTAGGAGGAGTATTTAACATTCCATTGCGAGCGTTTTACAAACAAACCTCAATAGCCGACTTCCTGTTGGGCTGGGGTAAAAAGTAAAAGCGCGAGGTATAGATGAAACTATGAGATCAACATGTGCACAGAGTTTCATATTATTACATACAAACGTGTTTGAGTTATGGACCAAGTGTTCGTACCCCGTTCCAGGGGGCGCTGACGAGCCGCCCTGCCACGCCCGGGTACAAGCTTCAGGCCGGCTCTGATGGCCGCGGGTTCTGACCCATGTGCAAAGTTTCAAGAGTTTTCGAGCACGTTAAGGGCCCCAAAAATGCCCAAAAGGTTACAAAATAATAATAATAAATAATCCTTAGGAAAACAATAGGGCCTTCGCCCTTTCAGGGCTTGGGCCCTAATAATAAATATAGCTGCGAGCAGCGATGGCGGGCCCAAGCCGGAGGCACCGCAACCCCGGTTCCTTTAGTTACCTAAAGGCACCCGGGTGGCGGTGCCGAAGGCTTTGGCCCTTTCATGATTAAATGTTAAAACGGCTTGCCATACTCTGTCATTTCGACTAGTCACAATTATGTTACAGATATCTTAAATGATAATACAAACTATCCAAAGTGTAACGACTAGACAGAAAGACTTTGTTGATATCTACAATGTTAATTCCGGATAGGCAAACTTAGCTTTTAAATGTTAAAAAGGGCTTGCCATACAGGGACGTAGGCTCAGAGAGAGGCTCACCATATTCAGACCAAAATATCTGACTTCCTCTTGGTCCGAGCTAATGACTATGTATTAGAAAGTTGTACGGCTTGAGGAGTACAATGTATATACCGATTTTTGTAACTGTAGATAAAACTAACAACCCCACTTTTAAGTATATATATGGTGCCTTTAGTGTTATTCTGCACGACGTGCAAAAACTTAACCCCCGCTTTTTTATAGTATATATATATATATATATATAATAAGGGTTATTCTGCACGACGTGCAAAAAACTTAACCTCCGCATTGACTGTCGAAGAGAAGTGTGCAGAAGAGCTTGCATCAGTGAGGGCTTTGCAAAATATATATACATACAAACACACACACACACACATATAAATGAGGTTAGTGTTTTACAATATTAAGGAAAGCAAATGTATTGAAATATAGCACATTAATTTTAAATTCATTCAGCTTCAATTACCAATTTGTAGTTTACCAATTTATCTTACTTTTATTTAAAGCAAACTATACATTTAAAAGATTAGGGTTATATGCATATTTTGTCATTTAAAAAAATACAAGATTGTTATGCAAAAAGATAAGGACTTGCAGAAAAAATCTACAGTCAGCCACACACACACACACATAAACGCAGACACCAGCAACCCCCCCCCCCCCCCTCCCTCTTCCCGATACAGACACTGATAGAGACAAGATACACATCCAAACTGCAATATCTGACTTTCTTTTGGTCTGAGCTTCTTACTGTTAATTAGAAAGTTGATCGGCTTGACAAGAACAATATACGTGGCATGTTTTGTAACTGTAGGTAAAACGAGCAAAGTTAACACATTTTATCTGTCCTTTTTTAGTCATAAAATTATTTTCCTCGCCACGGCCAAACCGTTCGAGATATCAAAAATCCGTCCGGAATTGAGCATCCTCAATGTCTTGACTTCATGCACACCGAGTATGGTGGTGATTGGTAAACACATGCGTTGTAATTTGATGTATTTCTCCTAGGAGATTTATTCAAACAACACATAATTCCCAACTTCCATTTGAACTGTCTTAAAACTTAGAGCAGAGATGGGCGCAGGTCACGCAAGTCTCAAGTAAGTCTCAAGTCTTAACCGTCAAGTCTCAAGTAAGTCCCAAGTATTTTTGGGGGGGGGCAAGTCAAGTCAAGTCACAGGCTATGTCAAGTCAAGTCAAGTCTTGTAGTAGGTTAAGTCAAGTGCAAGTCAAGTCACCTTATTATTTTAATTTTACATGCAGAATCTGATCTTAATAAAATGAAAAACAAGATAAGTATTTGCCAGTAAATTACAATAATTTGCATTGTAAATACTCATGTTCAGTAAAATACACCATGGAATCAAAACAAATTGTAACTTCATAAAATTATTTATTTTTCACTTCTGCCAACAGTGTGTTTGAAATGTTTTAATTTTCAACATTGAGTCCATAAAACAAATAACAGCTTAACATCCTACAGACTCTCTGAACACCTTCCTCTCTCTCAAACACAGTTTACAAAACAATATTAAACTTTGTTACATTCTTCTCCTCTCTCTCTCTCTCTCTCTCTCTCTCTCTCTCTCTCTCTCTCTCTCTCTCACACACACACAGTGGCGGTTCTAGACCATTTCAACTGGGGGGGCCAAGCTGGGGCCAGTGTGTACTGTTAGAGGGGCCAGTTACATTTAGACCTTATCATTTTCTGCACTGCACTGAATGCATAAATAAGCAAAATACCATGTTTATAATTATCCAACAATTTGCATTTCCATTATATTTTTACATTTGCATTACATATATCAGTCTGTATTTGAATTTCCATTTTATTTTTGTACATTGAATACAGTATGTATATATATATATATATATATATATATATATATATATATATAATTTTTACAAATTAATCTACGATTTTTGTGGGTTTTTTTTTTTTTTTTTTTTTTTTTGCAAAAAGATCAGCAAATTATCCTCTAAACTGGCCTTTTTTTAGGGGCTTTCCTCTCAGGGTGAATGAGCTTTTTTATATAATTGTTTTTTTCCTGACATCTTTGAAAGACAGAAGCAATAATTATGCATCCTTGGCCAGGATATAATTATAAAAATATGACATGATTATAAAAGTGACCTATAAAATCGACTATGCAATACACTTAATTTATTCTAGTGCTAATAAAATTATTAAGCCTATTTGGAGAGAGAGATGTTTTAAAATCGACTATGCATTACACTTTAATTTATCTAGTGCTAATAAAATTATTAAGCCTATTTGGAGAGAGAGATGTTTATTAATGTGACAATATG